ATCAGTAAAATGTTATAATCTACAATAAAATCTCGTTTAAAATTGTTTTTCGATGTCTAAAGGTAACTGATATAGGTCACATGTTTCCTGCCTGGGCCGGCGTTGTATTCCATTCCCTCTCTTTTCTCGTCCGGGGCGGTGAAGAAGAGCCCTCAGGGGCCAAGAGCAGCTGCAGCCAACAAAGCTGGGACTGTTGCTATCTGTTAAACTATGCCGTACCAACATACTTTTAGCCAAATCAGCGTCGTCAGATCTGATGCTCAAAAGGCGCCCACTTTCAGCGGCCCTGGCCTTGTGTGTCTGTGAGTTGTTTTAGACTCGTATCCCAAGGTGAACGCTTACAGGTAGGGGATGGCTTGCGTCTGCAGGTTTAGAACTCCGGTGCTAATGGACGCGGAGCGTAAGATTTAACATTTGATGCCCATTGCTATTGTTAGGAGCAAGCGGCACATGGAGCTATATGTTGGGCGGACCTGTTGTTTACAGGGAAAGGGAGTGTACGAGGGTCGGGGTTGTCGATTCTTGTTCGTTTTCTCTTCCTCCACCCTTCTCAGGACTTTGGGGAGTTTGCCGCGCTTGTAAAAGAGACGCGCTTCATGGGAATCCAACAATTGGTTGTAGGTATTTAAAGGTCGAGTTGAACAGTCGTGAGTAAATCTGGATTTTGTCGAATCGGGGAAATGCGGGAGTCTTTCCTGCGAAATCGGGGAGGTTGGCAAGTATGACTACACACCACACAACACACAACCACACACACACACACCACCACACACCCACACACAACACCCCCCCAACACATTTGTTTTTTGTCCCATTCATTAGCCCCCAAAGATATTTTTTCCACGCCGCCACTGATTGATTGATGTGTCCCCTTGGAGCCAGATACTGAAACCCTTAAAAAGATGGTGTGAATGAGAGTTGTGTTGTGTGTGTTGTGGTTGGTGTGTTGTTGTGTGTGTGTGTGTGTGTGTGTGTGTGTGTGTGTCAGTCATACTTGGGCCAACCCTCCGATTTTCGCGGGGAGGACTCCGCATTTTCTTCCGCTTTTGAATGTTTATTTCCGGACTGTTTCCACTTCGGACTTTTAATTACAGCTTACCCATTGTTTGATTTTCCTGGTAGCCGCGTCTTCTTTGCAGCTGCGCGCAACTTTAAGTCTGAGAGGGTGAGGGAGATGGAAAATTGACAGATCGACAAAAAACTCGACCTCTGGATCACTCCTTTTCCTGTAAAACAGTCCAGCCCCCACCAATATGCTCCCCATGGTTGCCCACAGGGGGCATTGGCCCTTACAACTTTACAAAAGCATTGCAATGGTTAATCTAACGGCTTCCGGCGATCCACTGGCACGGCAAGTTTTCTCTTGATCCCCTGACGCAGCCATCCCCTACTGTAGCGTCACCTTGGATACGAGTCTAAACAACTCACAGACACACAGGCCAGGGCGCTGAAAGGGCGCCCTTTGAGCATCAGATCTGACGACGCTGATTGGCTAAAGTTATGTTTCGGCGGCATAGTTTACAGATAGCAACAGTCAGCTTGTTGGCTGCAGCTGCTCTGGCTGAGGGCTCCTTTCTACCGCCCGGACGAGAGAGGGTAATGATACACGCTGCGGCCAGGCAGGAAACATGTGACTTATCAGTAACTTTAGACATCTTAAAACAATTTTAAACGACATTTTATTGTAGATTATACATTTTACTGATACCAACTATATAATATTTACCTTGTTCTTTAAAAATAAAAAAAAATAAAAAATATTCTTTGGAAATATATTTTTTTATTTATTTTTAATTTTTAATGACAATCAAACATGTGGGAAGAGGGGGGGCGGCGCCCCTAGCGCCCCTATGGGCCGGCCGCCACTGTCAACATGTAAAGTGAAAGGGTCAGGAATCGAACCACTGACTTTCTGATAAGCAGATGTATTTGGTACACATTTTACAAAACAACATGAATACTATTATTTATGTTATATTATCAGCCCAATCACACTGTTCGATGAGCCTACTGAAACAAAGAAGGGGAACCATTGTCAAAGCTTACAATGTGTGTTACTATTTCTTGAGAGTCATCATTTAGGGTGCGTGACACATTTACTGCTGTGTTGTTTTTTCAGTGGGAATAACATGTTATGACACGGTACACTTTCTTGTTAGGACGGTCAGTGTGTGCTGTGTTACGGATGCGCGAAACACAAGGAGACACAATGGATCTGTCACCTTTCTTAACAATGCCACACCACTAATGACGGTTTATGTTACTGCTGCTGTGTTGACAATAGAGCCTGTCTCCTTGGCTGAACCTGAGACACATGATGCAATCCGCCAGCCTACCAGTGGACTGAGAGTCTGTTTGTGAAAAGGACTTTAGCTTGCTGTCAGAGGAAAAAAGGCAAATTCCCGAAATAAATGATTTAAAAATATAGACGGTGGCCAACCTGTGCAAACACGCTCCAACCACCCAAAACACTTACATTAGAAGAAACGCGCTGCACTTTCAAAAACTACGTAAACACAAATGTGTCAAAATACATGCAAATTAAGAAACATCTTCACCAACTTTAAGTGTACCCATTTTCGTAATGTTTTGAGCTTCTTACAGCGTTTTTTCAACGTAACGCTGTGCACTTTTGGTCTAGTTGGTGAATGTGTAATTTGCATGTGTTTCGGCAAATTTGTGTTTTCTTTATTTGTAGCGTTTTTGGAACTGCAACCCCTTTCTCCTAATGAAATGTTTTGGGCTATTGTAATGTGTAAACGCACTGTAGACATTTCAAGAGAAAGAAGGGGAATTTGAAGATGTTTTTGTCCGTTAGTTCAGCATTTTTACTTGTATGCTTGAAAGCTGTTTCTTAATATTGATTTAGTATTTCAAAACGTGGATAGAAATGTGTGATAAATCCTGTCATTATTCTGTGGTGGTGAGTAGAGACTGAAGTGATGATGGTGGCTAAAGTGAGCTGAGGTATCCACATTATTTTTGCGGTGTCTTTCAAGGGATCTTCTTTCCTTTTCTCAAATATCTATCTCCTGTTTATTTCTGCCAGCGTGTTTCCTGTCTCCGTCTGCTTCCAGCTTTCCTTCCTGACAGCACAGGTATCACATTCCTCTTTCATAAGGCTGACATGCATCCGTCACTGCATGGCCTCCTGTGTGACAGCTGAGAACGCACAACACTAATGGCTAAAGCCTTTCTTTCCTGTCTACACCTGATACTCGGGGACATTTTACGCTGAGCAGGTAGAAAAAAGTTTTAGCAAAACATTATTTTTATATTTTAAACAGAAGTAGTATAAAGTATGTTGAAAAATGTCATAATATATTTATATATCAATGTTGAAAGTTTTAAAAAAAGCCTTAGTTACAAAAAATACATGTAATCTGTATCTTGAAAGTATTTTGAAAACGAAAAAATATAAAATATCAGAAAAAAAGCAAATAATAGTTTAATCGTAAAGAACATATAGTACAGTATGTAAAAAAGAAAATAGTAAAAATAGTAAAAATAAATAAATTGTAGGCTATAGCTTGTCGAAGAAATTGGAAAAAAATACATAGTATAGTATATCGTCATAATAAAGGAATTGCAAAGTATGTCAAAAATACCGCAAAAACATACAATGTGTAGTATTTCTAAAATATCACGAAAAATAGCAAAAACAAATGAAAAAAAACATAAAAATGCAATTGTATAGTATGTTAAAACATGTGAAAAAGAGTCATAGTATAGTATGACATTTTGAAAATAAAACATAGTTGAGTTTAGCTTGCCCGTTTCCCAGTTCCAGCAATCAAACTGAATGAACCTCCACAAATGCTGAAAGGTGTTCACAGCCACAACGGTTCCTGGCTCCAGACACACTGCTGCTAATCTTTAATTTCATTCAAAGAGGATTGGAAACTGTTTTTCTGGCATCAGCAATACCAATGGCTGGGTCTGCCAGCACAGAGCAGGGAGGAAGAGAGAGGATTTGCCAAAGCTGACTGGGGGGTCCTGGTGCAGGGAGAACACAAACCTGGCAGCGGGCTGATGAGCCGCACAACCAAGTCACACACAACAATACAGCCTGCCTGTTGTTATACTGAATTTAGACACTACTGGGTATCCAGGGAATATTTCAACAATGAGGTTTCCCAATTTAGGAACAGGAAAAACCTTTTCTGTGAGAGAAGACAGAAAAGGTTTTTCTCAGTAAGCAATCAATTAGCCCTTAGTGCCACACAATGCAGCTAAAAGTGTTCCCTTTGGCCTTAAGGTACGATCTGCTCACTAATAGCGAGAGGGAAAGCCTTATAAAGCACCGCCACCAGAAAGAGGGATACGTGAAAGAGCTATTCTTCACAGGGTAAACTAGGTCATAAACTATCCATAGAAGAAGCAATTACTTCCTGCTCTGACACAGCAGCCCATTTCAGCCAATCGACCAGCAGGAGGGGCCTCCAACTGTGCTCTTACAGGCTGCTAACCTGGTTAACTGAGCTGCTAACACAGGCCAGCTCTGCCACGCCAAATTGGTCTGGGAGATTTAGTGTGGCTCTTTCCAAAGCCCTGAGCCATCTTGATGTCGCCCACTAGGCTAAACGCTCCGTGGGACCAGCAGGAGTGGCGTCTCCAGTCTGGGCTAACTAGCTAGCAAGCCAGGGGGCGCTGTCAAATGTATGGGATGTATGGGCCAATGTGAAGGCTTTGCATATGTCCTGGTTTGGCGCTTGACTGGCTTTATTTTTGAACTTTCCCCTATATTTGTTCGTGTATTCATAGCATTCCCCTTGGTGCTCCAATTATAGGAAATTGAAATCTATAGTGTGCTGTTATGCAAAAACACAGCCCTTTGTATGTGGATATGGATAGGGATGATTCAGAGAGGGGAAATTGGGTTAAAAGGGTCGAGAGGGTTTGATAAAAATGCAATGAGAGCCTGTGAGAGGTAGGAAAATTGCAGAGGCTCCACTCGCTTTGAGCACATAGCTCTATTATTAAATGTATTTATGTGCTCCCACCATCACAGGTCCAACCTTACAGCCAGAGAGCGTCTTCTGATCAAATGGAAAGCAGCAAAGGGAATATCTGATAGGTAAATAATTAGGTGCATTGTGGGAGTTCGTCTGCTGCCTCTGTCCTGGGAATATTGTCGATAAGAAAAGTTAAGAACAGCTGCAGGAAGAATGAATTATTGGGTAGAATGGTCGCTTTATTGAGTAATGGCTGTAGCCCATCAAAGTGGATCCTATTTTAAATATAAATGTTAGACAATGTAGTCTAACAGTGCCACAATAATATTTTCAAAATGCACAATAACATCATTATCAGGATAAAAAAAAAGATAAAATATGTTGTTATTATTGTGTTTGGGAAATTGTGTTTTTTAGAATATCACTGTTATTGCCAACCAGTATTTGGACCACCACTTGTTTGGTCTATACAAATACATCATAACATGTTATTCCCTTTGTTTGTCAAAGTCAGTCATGTAGTAACTGGAAACTAAAGCTGTCAAACAAATAAAGAGTAACAAAGAATAGCATATACAAAGTAGCATATAAATAGAATTACTAAGGTCCAATACATGTTAACACTGAGCTGTAGTACACAAGTTAATCGAATTTAATTAGCTCTGTATTTCTAACCCCATTCGCCCCGTGCATAGTTGGCACGTCCACACAGTGGGCTGCAAACCATAGTGTGAGCACCACTCTGTGGCGATGCATTTTATTTTGAAAGTACAGCCAATGCATATACATCTTTGATCAGGTGAGTTAACCCATCACCTTCCTAGTTTACAGTAATAGCTATGGGAGTGTTTTGCTTCCTGCACATATCTTAGCTCAATATCATCCAGAGCTACCACAAATCCACTCTGATAACACATAAGCAGCATTTCAAGATTTTGCATGCGACTGACTGTGTTGACCAATGTAAATGCCCAATTTAGCAGACCACTTGGGGTTTAGTGCCTTGCTCAGTGGCAACTCGCACATGAGTGGTCCTATTTAAAACATTTCAAGCCAACAGAAAACTTTTCTGTCTAAAGGAATACTCATACCCCTGGCAGAGTGGGACTCACCTTAGTGCATGTGATTTGATTGCCTTTAAATGACGGCAGTATCAGGCTCACCTGGGATATTTGTCTGTGTCTTGGTAATCTGTTTGAAGGGCAGGATGTAAGATGAGGGAATTGCCGGGAATGGATGAGAAAAAAAGGAGAGATAAAAGCCTCCCACACAAGAGACAATCACGCTTGCTTCAAAGCTCAAACAAAGGCATACATAAGATAAGGAAAAAACAAAACAATCATTTTGATTTGAACTGAAACAGCATTACAGACAAAATAATGGATATGCAACACTTCCTTATTTACAAGTGATAAGAAGAAGCAGAGTTCTGCATTATGTGTGAAACAGCATGAAGGCAGGTGTGAACAATATTGCTTTCATTCATTTTTGCAGTAACATTTAGTGTATACAACTATAAAGGATAAGATTAATATGTCACAATTCCCAATAGAATTGAGATTGTGCCAAATGATACAGGAACGGTGGTAAATGGCACATAGACATACTGCCATCTGCTGATTGAAATCACACATTACATTTCAGTTTGCAGGCATGACATTATAGTTATTCCTGAACTCCAAACACTGCATTGGATAAATTGCAGTAGTACCAAAAAGGTGGTTTGGTCATTTGTCTCGAGTTCATGTACCGTAATTTTCGGACTATAAGGCGCACCTGAATATAAGCCGCAGCAGCGGCATACCACTCTCGGTTCCACTTTTACTTTTGCGCGCTACCTGTCTCACTCTTTTCCGGCCTCCAGCTTTTCCTGCTGGAACCCGCCGCTTAAAGGTCGGGGTCCGCGGACCGGCCATAGAGCCCACAGAGTTAAAGGTGGTGGCCGTTAGCTGTAAAAATCCATAGATTAGCCGCACCGTTATATAAGCCGCAGCGTCGAAAAATAGGGAAAAAGGCGCGGCTTATAGTCCGAAAATTACGGTATATAAAATCCATCAATCAATATCATTCATCATTTTCCGAAATGTGTCGCTATGTCATATTTCCTTTGGTACTTTTCAAATTATATTTTGATGATGATACTGTTCTGCTTATTTAAAGGTGGGGTAGGTAATTTTGGAGAAACCAGCTCGAGTGC